GATGGGAGACAGTGTCAAAAGCCTTGCTCAAGTCCAGGGAAACAACATCCACTGCTCTCTCCTCATCTACCCAGCCAGTCATTCCAACACAGAAGGCTATCAGATTGGTCAAGCATGGTTTCCCTTTGGTGAATCCATGCTGACTACTCCTGATCACCTTCTTGTCCTCCACATGCTTAGTGGTGACCTCCAGGATGTGCTGTTCCATCATCTTGCCAGGGATGGAGGTGAGGCTGATAGGCCTGTAATTTCCTGGCTCCCACCCGAAAGACTGAAGCAAAGAAGGCATCCAGCAACTCTGCCTTCTCTGTGTCCTTTGTCACCAGGGCACCCACCCCATTCGGCAGCGGGCCCGCATTTTCCCTAGTCTTCCTTTTGCTCTTGAGGCATTTGAGGAAGCCCTTCTTGTTGTCCTTGACGTCCCTTGCCAGACTTGATTCCAAACGGGCCTTAGCCTTCCTCGTGGCATCCCTGCACGCTCTGACGATGTCCCTGTATTCCTCCCAAGTGGCCTGTCCCCTTTTCCACATTCTGTATGCCACTTTATTCTGTTGGAGTTTTGTCGGGCGTTCCTTGCGCCATCTCCTGCCCGCTTTGCTGGACCTCTCACTCAGAGGGATGCACCCGTCTTGAGCTTGGAGGAAGTGATGCTTGAATATTAACCAGCTCTCCTGGACCCCCCTCTTCCTTCCAGGGCCCTACCCCATGAGATGCCCCTAAGTAGGTCCCTGAAGAGGCCAAAGTTAGCTGTCCTGAAGTCCAGCGTTGCGATCCTACTCATTGCCCTGCTTCTTCCTCGCAGGATCCTGAACTCCTCCATCTCATGGTCGCTGCAGCCAAGGCTGCCCCCAACCTTCACATCTCCAACCAGACCTCCTTTGTTTGTTAGTACAAGGTCTAGCATTGCACCTCTCCTCGTTGGCGTCTCCCCCACCTGTGTCAAGAAATTATCATCAGTGCTCTGCAGGAACCTCTTTGGCTGTTTGTGCCTAGCTGTGCTCTCTTCCCAGCACATGTCAGGGTGGTTGAAGTCCCCCAGGAGAACCAGGGCCTGTGATCATGAAGCTACTTCCAGCTGTCTGTAGAAGGCCTCATCGACTTCCTCATCCTGATCAGGTGGCCTGTGGTAAACCCCCACCACTGTGTCACCCATGTTAGCCTGCCCTTTAATCCTTACCCATAGGCTCGCAACTTGCTCTTCATCCACCCCTAGGCAGAGCTCCATACATTCTAGTTGCTCCCTCACATAAAGGGCAACTCCACCACCTCGCCTATAGGAAATGATCCTATAGCATCAGCCAAAAAAAAAAAAAAAAGTGAACATGCATAGCACCAGAAAGCAATACGACAAGAAAATGTGAAAGCGTACATAAAATGTATCATTAGAAACACAGTGAAGGAAACTGATACTTCTAAAAATATGATAAACTTCACAGTCGAATTTATGAGTTTTTGTTGTACAACTAGCATCAGAAATGGTACATCCTGGCAGAACCTTTTAAAGAGCTACAGTAATTTCGAGGGGATTTCTGTCTCATGTAAGATGAAAGATTATCCACATGACAGCTGTCTAACACCTTCTTCTAGCATTATCTAAATTCAGAATAGATTTTTCATTACTGCTTACATACAGATTGCTTTGCAGTCACTTACTGCAAAGTCACTTACTCTGATTCCTATAACTGGCATACAGGAACAGCATGCAATGAATAAATACAAAAGAACTTTCAAGGTTTCATCGTAGGTAAATAGCTGTTATGCTTATAAAACAAATACTGAACCTTTATAACACTTCCAGCTGCATTTTATTAGTCTGCTTCAAAGATGCAGGCATCTTCAAAGACAAAAAACATTTCAGAAGCAAAAATATATAGGGAATAACACTTCTCTCGAAGGAGTATGATTTTTTTCATATCTTTGACTATAGAGATACAAGGTATAAAAGGAGTACAAATAGTTGCTATTTATCAAGAACACAAGGGAACACAGAAGTGCTATATCCATGTGGATATAATGACCTAAGTGTTTAGTAGAATTTTTGATATCAAAGAAAAAAATTTAAAACTGTAATGCAAACAGTATAGCTTAACTCTCATATATACAAGCACGCACACTTTTGCGCAGTACTTACTTAGTACTTGTAATTCTTTTCGCCTGTAGTGCAATTTTTAACTTAACGGCTAGCTCTAAATTTGTTAAAGTGAGTTTTATGTTCACTGCTGGTACAGATTCACTGGAAATAAGAAAGATCTGAACAAGTTAATATAAAAGCATTCCCTCCATCTTCCACATATTTTCTAGCAGAGATGAAAGCATTTTTTAATTTAATCTAGTCACATTTCCCTTCAAGAAGTATATTATATTATACAATGTGGTTTGAAAATAAGGCTTAGCAAGCACTAGAAAGTGCTCTGGGTAGGAAATGTTCAGGTTTTGCCTTGCTGTCGAGGATCGCAAGAAGAAACTCCAGGAAAGATGCAGCCCCTGCACGTTCACAGGGATCACACAAGGTGACACGAGACTGCTCTCAGGGCCCTGCGGGAGGTAACCTCTGTGCTCACACACCAGACGCGCTGGAAGCGGCCCCTCTCCGACGCATCCCCAAAGATCAAGCTGTCCCGTATGGCAGCGGGCCTGGTACGCAAGAAGGTGCTGGCCGAGACAGCCTGTCATCTTTTCATGTCCTCTTGGCTGCTCTTTATATTCCACAGAGAGAAACGAAATGAAAGACTTTTCCCTGCAGAGCCTTTTCATTTAGAGCTCCTGGTATTGCATATACAACTGAAAAGAGCAGATTTCTCTCTCCTGTGACCGGCATTGTTTAGATGGTGCTACAAGGCAGTTAAGGATTTACACACGTTTTGTACGGGTCTCACAGAAAAGGCGTTTCAGAAAGAAAAACCACCTAGGAACAGGCTGAGATTTAAAAAGTTAATGTAAAAGGTGCATGACATTCCCTTTAATATGGTTCAAAACTAGAATTTTGGGAACACCACTGGAACTGTGGAATTTTTGCTTCATATGACCAGGACACAAATTTTTACCTGCCATGTCCAGGTGAAAGAACTGAGGTCTCCGTGACAACAGAGGCAGCCCTGGCACTGCCAGCCCTAGTTACCCATTTCCAACCTCCACGGGTAAACGCCACTGCAGTAATACAGGCAGCTAAGAATGGGACACGTCTGTCTCTGAAGAGTAGTTGCTGGATGAAAAACCATCTGTTTTCCCCCTCCAGTTGAGACCATACCCAAAGCAGAGGCAGCTGGGAAGAGGATGCCCCAGAGCAGGCGCAGACGCGTTTCCTGGTGTCTGTGGTAACCTCTGACAGAAGGAGATGTGGACGGGACAGAGGGCACAAAGCCAGCCATGCTGATCTGTAACACTACTGGCCCAGCTTTGTCTTAGAGGTAACCACCCCTGGAGCCAGGGCAGCAGCGAATGAGCCAGGTTCCTACTCCTATTCGCAGACCAGCACCTTCACACTAATGCTGACTGAAGATACCAAGAACCCGGATTCTGAACAGGTGACTAACGCTCAAGTGCATTTTTATCCTCCCGAGCAGGATACCACCCCAGGGAGATGCCCAGGCTGCTTGTCTCCCTAGCTTTCCATCGCTCGCAAACAATCTCACAACACCCGAAAAGCCTGACCCAGTTGTAGCTGAACAACAGCCCCACATCATCCTCCTCAGGAGCACAGCAAACAAGCTGGCCTGAGCCAAATCCAAATCCCTTCTGCGTGAACGTGTTCTTAGATTGCCTAATTGTTGCATTCTGTAAAGAGAAAAAAGGATATATTTCTGGTCCAAAGCCCGAAAACCAAAGCGTCACATCCCTCAGAATTTTTAGTCTGATTAAAGAATGCCCTGCGGATTGCTCCGAGCTCCTTATAAAGGAAGTCAGCCACTCGTAGAGATTTTTTGCCTTTATTTAAGCAAACCAAGCACGACTGTGGAGATTATGAAATTGTGCTGTGCTCCCTCAGAGCCAGCAGAGGGAGCAGAAGGTAACTAGCACGTCCCGATGCTGCAGCGCTGCGGCTGCAATGGGAACACGACAGAGCCAGCTGCCCTGAGAAATTCTAGGTACAGGTAAGCAGAGATGCAAGGAAGAAATGCTGTTTGTCACCTACAAAGCAATAAGACTGCAGGGGAAGAGGTCATTATTCCAAGATAAACAAAGTAATACAAAATATTTGCAATTTTAGGGACAGTAGCTTTAAAAAATAGGGGGAAAAAATGAGTTATTAGCAACCTCCAATTTCTCTTTAGCTAGCTGGCTGATTGAATGAAATAGGATCTGGCCCGTCTAGAAAGAGCCTGAAATGACTGCCTATGACACGGACACACAAAATAAAAACAGACTGAAAGCAAAGGTATTACCTTTTTGTCAGGTTTTGGTGAATTACATATGGAATTTAGAGCCTGCTTTTTATATTCAAGCTTGTCATTCAGCTGGCGAAGTTTATTTACAGCGTAACTGGCCTGCTCGTTAATTCTTGCGCTGCATTCTTCAGTAGCTTCTTCACAACCTTGGCTCTAGGAATAGAGGATGGGAGTTACTAACTGATTGTACCGTTAATGCAAATAAAGAAAGATTTTGTTTGCTCCATATGCATTTTATGTGCAAGAACATTTATTCTTGATATAGACAAAATAAAAAGATTGAGTAAAATGGCACATTTATTATATCAGATTCCAATGGATATTCCAACCATCAGATCCAACATGAAACAGAGTTAAAAAAGCAGACAGTCTCATTCTCAGTTACACTACAGCTCCATAACAACTCTTGCCTATTGTGTAAGAGGACCTTCAAGTTAAGACTTTAGTTAAAACAAGAGTAAGAATCAAAGTTTATTTTAAAAGTAAACAATAGCTTAGTCCCGACTGATATTCAGATCCAGACAAAAAGCAAATGCTGCAGCTCTGAGCTGGGAGATTACAAGAGGAGGGGAAAAATAAAACCACAGTTTTAACAAACAGTCCCGTGTCCCACAAACCCTCACAAAACAGACGCAGCAGCCTTCAGACCAATCTAAACCAAATCCTCTCTCCTCATAAACAGATTTTATTGCTCTTTTCAGAAGTGTTAATAAAAAACATGTTAAAAGCACGTATGTGTTACCCTGAATTCATAACTCACTTTCTCCTACCCATTCAAACAAATTGCATCTTGCGTACTACAAGGATGCAAAGACATACAGAAGTTAAAGACGTAAAGTGGCCTTCTCTTTAACTTCTTTTGGCATTTGCCTTAACCTCCCCTTTCCTACTGTACTTCCTCAAATGGGAATGAAGAATTGCAGATCCAGGAAAGGCAGCATCATGACGTTACCATCTCCAACGTTACCACATTCAAAGAGATCTCGGAGGTTTGCTTGTGGTTGAATATATCTTATCCATGGCAAACTCTATGAATCGAATCTCATGAACCATGGACAGAGTTCTATGTTATTTAATGACATTTCCACTAAGATGCATCTCTATATAATTAGCAAAAAGTCAAGAGAAGGAAATCTCAGTCTCTACTAAATTCTATGATTTTTTAGAAGAGATTCTAGGCAGCCCTGCTGTAAATTCTGCAGTATTTTACATCTTAGGAAAAAAAAACGCCTGAGAAGGAATACAGTAACAATAGCAATTAACCTTCTTAGTCTTATCCTTACAAGGGAGGGGAATGTGATGCAGAAAGCAGCAGTGCTAGGCTAAGAAATGCCCTTTCCCAGCTCTGCATTTGCTTGCTACGTGGCTGAGTAAATAACATTAGCTCTATGCCCTATACCTTTTTTCTGCCTAATCCGCGTGGACTGTAAACCCTTCAGGTCAGAGACTGCCTCCAAGCATGCGCACAGAGCTTAGCTCACAGAAAGATGGTTGTGGTCTCCTGACAGTATAGTAATACAAGTAATAAACATTAAGAACTCTGGATGTTATTCAGAGCTGCATTGAACACAACCACAGAACAAAAAATTTCTACTTGGTGAGAAAGCACAAAGGTCAAAAAGAATCGAAAGATGCCGGTTTTGGTACGGAAGAACTAAAGGAATTGTCATGTCGACTTTGGTTCTAGTAACGGAAGGACTGCATGTAATTGCAGAGCAGTAATACTCCACTCCCAGAGGCAGGCTACACCATTTCTGCATATCACTAACATTTTAGACACTTAGAGCAGAAAATACTGCCTAATCACTGGGTGCATCATCAAATGCTAAAATTCTGACATAATAAATTATCATATATTCAAATTATTACATAAACTACCAGTACACTCAAAGCTGAGATCAAAATGTACTGTGGTCAGGTGAACTTACTTTAGTGATCTGATACATGTAGCACCAGTGGAAACACCAGACTCATTTCCTTCAAAGTATCGAAAGCAGATACTGTTTTCTTCCATATTTTTCCTTTTACTCATGACCTTCCAAAGACAACTGCTCAAAGGAGTGAAAAGTGGTGATGGATCAGAGGGAAGAAGAAACAGCTCGCTCCACGTGCGGCAGAACCAGCACAGCTTGGCCTCGCCAGGATTCACGTCTCCTGACTTGATTTTCTCATGTTTAATCAGGGTTCGTGCTTTTGCCCTCCCCTCCAGAAGGGCGCTCGCGGGCTCTCCGCCTAGGCGGCTCTACTAGTGAAACCTGCCCACAATCACAGGCGTAACTCTCGCATCCCCCCGGGAAACGTGGATGCAGGCCACCAAAAAAACAAACTACAATAAAAACTTAGTGTTGGTTAACATGGAACCTGCCAGAAATCCCAGATTTCCCAGCTGTGGCCTCCTTCACGTGATACAGAAAAGCTAATAGCCAGCATTTCACAAACATTTGAAAACCCAGGGAAAGCTCCTGAAGAAATAATTTTTTACTATATGTTTTTGACTCAGAGCCCTTAAAGCCCGCCATAGAGCCAATTAGGATTACTCTGTTGGGGAGATATGCTCTAGCAATACTTGTAACTTCATGATTAATTTGTGGTTAAAAAAAGTGTAAAGACTCCTGCTCACGTAAGAGTATTTAGCAATATATTAGTCATTACAGGTTTCACAGTAGATGCAGCTTTCAAATCTGGCACATATTTACCCAAGGATTTAAAAGAAGGACAGATGATGCCCATGTTAAAAATCTGATTTTTCGGCAGCTATAGGAAAGTCTGAGATAAATGTTATCTAACAAAAGATAGCTAGTCCTAAAGGTTGTGCCCGTTTTCTTGGAGACATAGCTGTCTCTGTTAGACTCTATATAAAACAGATGAGGAGATTCAGAAGCACAATGTTTAAATATTTCATTTTGTGCAAAAAGAGCAACAGCGTTTTCTGGCACGACTGGTTTAGGGAACCCACTTGAAGAGCCTGCCCTGAAAACACTGCCACTGGGTTATTGCCTACGACATTTTGAAAGCTTTGTTCTAGTATTTCCAGTTCTAGCGCTATTTTAATCAGTTTTGTCTTTCAGAATAGCCTATTAATTTATTGAATAAATTAATACAAAGCACTAAGATTTTTTTTTTCCATTTCAAATACAAGTTATATAGGTTCTTGATCATTACTTTTTCTCCTCTTTCGTGCAATTTTTAAACCTATTTCGGAAACGCACAGGACACAGGGACCGAGACTCTAGACAGAAGCCCGCTGAGATGTCCTTCGCTGAAAAGCAAAGCAGCAGAGTCTGTACGAGGTATGTTCTGTGTTCTCTGATACTGAGCATAATGAAAGACACTGAATACAAAAGGCTTGGAAATCTGAAATATTTACTTTAACTAATTTAAAGTTTAAGTAGTCAGTCATTTTGTACCATTTTGTTTCAAAGAGACGATAAACATACATAATTTTCATGAATCACACTCTTGTTAAACATTTTGGTACTTCTTCAACATTGTCTACATCATGAAATAAAGCTAAGCTCTAGCACACTGCTAAGTGATACAAAAACAAAAGCTACATTGTATACAATGTTAAGATCCATGACAGTCGTTATGCCGCACTTATGAAGTGCTTTAAGAAACCTTCCCCCCCACCCCAAGAACATTCAGAATATTTTATTCAAACTGTTTGGTTAGTCACCAAGAAATATTCGAACACAGTTACTCTTCCTTGGTTAAAGGATGAAAATTGCGTTTTGTAATGATGAAGTGCACAGGTGACTGAAAACACAGGTACTATCAGATGAGACGGGGTAGTTTCATCAGTAGTTTTGCAGTTAGCAGAACTGGGAAAACCCCTCTCCATCAGGAGGCATTTTGTAACTTAGAGTCTGAGGAAAGACACGCTATTACAGCTCCCTAGACAAACTGTGAAAACTCAGTACTGATGAACTCTACTTTAATTGATGAAATTGCAAAAGTGATGATACTAACAAATACATCAGGGAAAAAAGAACAGAAGCCTAAAGCTCAATGGCAAAAGATGCTTCTAAAAACTTTACTCCAATATTTTCAGATCATCTTAAAAAACAGTGAGAAGAATTATGCATGTGACTTACCACTTCATCTTTGTCCCCAGGAGTTAGTCGAGCAGAACTTCTTTCTTCTTCCTGCTTGATCAATCTCTCATATAAATCACTGACAATGAATGAGGGGTAGTATCTGTCCTTTAGAGTTTCATAAACATCTGCCTGAATTCTGTAGAATACTTCAATGCCTTTATTACCCACGAGGCTTTGCTGTATTTCTTTATAAAGTGATTTTTCCACAGGTATTTCTCTGCTTTCCACAAAAAAATTCTGATAAATTTCACTCACTAGTTGAGGTATTTCAGCCTAAGAAGCAAGGAGGGAGAGTGAGGGAGAAGAGAATAATAAAAATGCTTAAAAAAAAAAAATCAGGATGAGTCAGAATCCAGGTGCAAATTTAAAGAAGGCTGATCAAGCTAATATCATGCCCAGACATAAGAGAACACATCTGTGAATGTCTTACTCAGATCAAGCACTCTGCCTGTGCACCTGTACAAAGCAGCCAATTTCAGAACTCAAACCTTGACATTTGTTAAGCGATGACATAGCCGTGCTCTACAGTAATCAGAGCTTCTACATCCATTGCTTTTAAAAACATGCTCCAGAAGCTAGAGAAAATCAATGAGCACCAGAGCAGCATTCTGGTCCTCATTTTAAGTTCAGATTTCAGAGCTCAGCTTTATCAGCTTCCCTGTCTTCTGCTGGGGACCTGGATGGGATCAACTCTCACTTTACACAAGACTAATTAATTTCTGATGCAAAAAACACTACCAGAACACTACTACATGAAGCCACATATTTCCACTGAGCGCAGAAGAGTGCACAGGGCTGAACTCTGCCTTAATAAACAGGAAAAAAAGAGAAAGTATCGCAGCACAGCCCACGAGCTTTCTAAACTACGTACTAACTTCCCAAGCAAAATTAAAGAGGTTTTAGCCACTTCCTTAGTACGGCACAACATGCTTGACTGCCTTATGCGACAAAATCATAGCCACGTGGCTGCATTACACTACTTATTTGAATCAAAGCTACTGCGGCACCGGCCGACAACCCTTAAGTTCCATGCAGAAATATAAGCACAATATGATAGAATGACAAGCCTTCCATAAAGGCACCATATATATTATTTTAAAAATGAGGAGAGAAATCATAGCTGAGAGGTCATAAAATGCTTTATAGCACCTTTTCTCCAACATGCAGTTTGCAAATCAAAACTGATTTATACAACTCTTCACGGTGCCTGCCAAATGCTTTTTACGAATGCTTTTTAGCGCGAGTTTTTTTTTTTTTTTTGGTCAATCTTATAGAGTATATTAATGGTTTGCTACTCATGATCCATGATATGCCACTCAGGTTACAGGATGTTACTTGCATTTCCCAATTGAAAATAATCTTTTTAAATAGGAGAGTAACAAAATGACAGTGGGGGGGGGGGGAAACCATAGTGATTCACATTTCATGCTAATGTGAACCCTGGAATTTTAAAATAGTTTTGCAGAAAAAGCCACCTCAGGGCTCACAAGTAACAAGCATGCCCTCAGCATAACAGCTCTGACTTGCTACAGGATGTTTCTTGCCATTTTAAGTGTTATTTCCTACCTTTATTTCAGGGCTCTCATTCCCACTTTGTTTAGCACATATATACAGTGTGGTTCTGTTCCTGCCCTCTAGCAGTAGGGCAGCACTACTGGTGAAATTTAGTGGCTTATATTGCAATGGAACTGGGAGAGGAAAGGCCTTTTAAAGCAGAATCTCTGTTTTGAGGGTGGGACTTTAAAAACATACATACACATACATCTTTAATTTTCACAGTTTTGGATTGAAGGGCTTACCTGTAATTAGCAAAATGAGAAGTTTATGAATGGACTACCAAACGGCAATGTATTTGGAAGTTTCACATAAGCTGATCCAAACAAAGCCAATATATCACTGCAAATTTTCTCTTTAGCAGAAGGGAAAAAGTTCCACCAATTTTGCCTATTAAATATCCTTTTTACAGGTTATGTTGCTATAAAAATCACCAGTAAACTACCATCACTCTATCATGCTATTAAAAAAGTCCACAACTTTTTAGAATTGCCATATTAACCCCAAGCAGCGACATAAAGAAGTTCAAATACAAAATTGCTTAGTACCCATTCTATGCTATTGGTATTTTGAAACCATAAATACAGAAACATTTCCTAACACCGAGATCAGAGCAAGGAGAGAGTCAATTTAATAAACAAGCCATATGGACATGTAAATTATTTCACCTTGTTAGCATTCTTCAGGTACTCCACAGATTCCCAAAGACTGATCAAAGCCCTCTTGTCCATCCTATCCATGTAGATTCCAAAGTGCTCTCGGTATGAAGGGTTGGCCAAAATTTCCTCAAACTGAAGAATCTAGAGAAAGAAAAAACAAGAGTAAAATCTGGGAAAATCCCTATATGGGACTGAACAGCAGCTATCCATCACTGGTGCACATAAAGGTCACCTAAGGTAACCAAACTAGATTTCCCAAGTGAACTTCCTAAGAACTTCCATTCTCCCCCCTAGCTGCCCACAGGTATTTAAGCAGTTTGCCTAAACATTTGTGGCCAAAATTTGGCACTGCTGGGGAAAACATTTTGCTTATGTCCTCTTGCTCAGTACGTTTGGTTTTCCAAACGTACTGTATGCACAAAGGGGGAAAAACAAAGAAAAAAAAAAAACCAAACACATACACAAAAAGAAGGCCAATGCTTTCCTCTGCTTATCTCCTGCTCACAAAGACTTATATTCTCTCTTTACTACTCAGAATTCACAAAGGCAGTTCTACATATTTGGAGAAAAGCAAATGTAAGCCACCACCCTTGAATTCCAAGGGAAACAATGCACTTTCTTCTCAAAAATGACCAGCCAACTCTCCAGTTTTCACATCCAAAAGCAACATCCAATTCTGAGTCCAAAGGGAGGTCTGAGCATGTGAAAACTGGGCCTTCCTGGAGTCAACGTGACGTTCCTCGGTTCGCCTCTCCTCCTCAGAATGCCCAAGGCAACTCCCAAACGCCCGTTTCTCACGCTGTTCTATAAACAATAGTTCTAGTATTAACAAACACCACCTCTCAAATTAATTTTCATACTTAGTGCTTCATTTTCAGCTCATTTGGCTTTTCTATATTTGCTATTTAGCGTGGAAACATTTTCAGACATGTCACAAGCATCAGTAAAACTTTTCTTCTGAGATATGCTTTCAAATTTTGAATTAAATACGCTGATGTACTGATCACAGACCCCAATTTCTCACGTTATCCGTAAAACGTGTTTTTGTCAACAGTACTCTGAGAAACTCAGAGAGTACTTTGCACATTAAAATATGCAACAGACAGAGCTCAGTGCAAAATAACTCATCTGATTTCTTGGCTAAAGCATCACGCTAGACTGCTCAGCTTCTGCCACATGTCCCCCATGATACAAATCTCTTTCAGATTCAAACGTTCTTTGTTCCAAGATGCCCAGGGCTTGTTTATGGCTGCATTAAAATTCATGTAATTCAAATAAACTTATATTACCACCAGATTCAAATTACTCGTGTAATTACTCCGAATTATTTTTACCATAACCTACCATCCTCCATTTACACGCCATCTGTACATTTTGCTTCCAGGAAATTTTTTAACTTTTTTTTTTTCCCTTAAATAAATCAGCCCAAAAACTCCCCACCCAATGACAACCTCCCACGTGTAATTACTTTTTCTACATTGTCAGGATTCCATTTTTAATCTACTTAATTGGCCACAGAGAATAAAGTAGTATTTTATATCAGTCAGAATGTAGATTAAAAAATATTTTGCTTCCAGGATAAAAAGAGAAGTGTCAGACTGAAAGTTATACTTATTATTTCAGCACAGCATCAAGCTGCACTGAGACTCAGCATCTGATCAGGTGTAATGAGGGAGGTTGTACTCCTACACACAGGTTCAGAAGGACAACGTTAAGGGACAACCTTATTCTTTGACATAATACATGTATTTGGAGAAGAACAAAGTATTTCTATCGACTAGCTTCGCTACTGCTGTCAGAAGTTTTTTCCATCCCTTTGCCTCCAAGTCCAAAGCACGGGCTGCCTCCTTGCCTTAGCCTCTCCAGCATATCTTAGCCTTTTATGGAGAACATCTCGTCACCTGATGCGCCCATAGAGCACCAGACATCCCACAAACATGCAGACTAGATCCAGCTGCACAGACCTTTTATAGTTGTATAAATTCTCTCTCAAAAAAAATTTAAATTTGTTTTCCACAATATGAGTTGTGAGAATTTACAAGTTAGATGCATCTATGCTTCCACCAGATAGAAAAGGTTTCCATGTGTTTTCCCTTCAGAAAGTATGACTACATTGCAGAACACTAAGATGGCATTTAAAGTCATTTATGAATTAAACGCAATTGCCAAAAATGTAACTTTCAATGTTCCTGCGGGGCAGAGGAGCTGAGTTCAAAGCTGACTAAGCTGACTGATCTATTCTCTGCTTGATCCAAAAAACCAGTAGCACTAGCAGTTTCCACACCATGGGGCTACAAAGCTTTCCGAGATAAATCTTAACTATTCCCAAGGACACAGAGAAAAATGGAGTGTGGTCTTTACTCTGGCAGTTAGGGGATTTGGCTGCCAGCTCCCATTCAAATGAGCGTCTGTTTACAGAAATTGCAAAGCATCTATCAGAAACACAGCCAGGAAAGACTACGGCCTATGATATAGCGCTTAGGGCTCTTCCTGAGATGAGAGAGATGAGGGTTTAAGTCAGGCAGAAAAGGAAACGAAAGGAATTTCAGCTGAATCAGTTTTCACATAGCTCATTTAGTCCCATCAGTTATATCACCGGGAATCCTAATAAACCAGAGTGGCCAAGGTCTCACCAATCCACCTCTCTTTCTTTGAAAAGAAAAGTAGGTCCTTGTGCAGTGGGCTAATGAATCTTAGCTTCCTATAGCTTTGCATTTTATAGCCAGGTATTTCAGTACTGAACGTGACATGAATTCCAGCTGTGGCTGAGGCACAATAATCTCTCTAATAAAGAGTTATGCAATACCTTATAATAGAGTTCAAGTCAGGTATCAGACACTCTCCGTAGGAAGACCACCAATATTCATAAACCTAGTATCTGTGAGACCGTACCACTAAGTCACATTTAGAAAAAACACGGTGGCTGGACACGAGCTATACAAGGGGAAACAGCATGCACATGTCCCGTGCACAACTACTGACATAAGTCTCATTTCCTTAATGAATCAAGCTAATAAGGTTCTTAAAATGTAGTTGCTACAGTTCTTGGCCTGAACCAGCTGCCCTAGATTTTGGGCCGGGTTTAAGGAAATTACGTTCGTCTCAGCTGGAACATTCATCTTCATCTTCACAGTGTTCCTCCCTGATAGCTGTGTGCCATTCCTTCTCTTCATCCTTTACCATACCAGCTGCCTTGCTCTTACTTTAAGAACTATTCAGGTACGTGAACAAGAGCTTCTGTCTTTCAGAATTTGCTCTATAAATCCTCATTGAACAATGCAATTGGGTAGAGAGAGGCTTGCTGAAACAAGGCTTATTACAGAAAAGGTGATCAGGCTGTCAAAGAAGAAAGCATAGAGGTGACAATTTAAATATCAGTCCACGGGTTAGCTACAGAGCATTGCCATACTCTCTAACCAATCATTTTATCAACGAGGATAGTGATTTAAAATACAAAGGGAAGAGGGTCTTTCAGCCTCTCAAATAGAGACCTTCATCTTCTCCAGGATTGTCAGCTCTGTAAATGACAGCACAGGTAATAAATTACTGCAAGCTTCACTCACAATGCAGATCACATGGCATCACTTTTTGAGCCAGAGGTCATCTTGGTCCCTATGCTTGCATTATCCAAGGTCTCTCCACCCGGGCTGCCAGCAAGGTCAACTAACAAACATCCATCCATCCTCAAAAGTACCTGTGGGGAAGCGTTACTGCTGGGAGTAACAGAAATGTAATAATCCCTCTTACCCAGCAAAGAGACGGTTACACAGGTACCCTATGGTATTTAAAGTGACCTATTTCCTCAGAGGTTTGTGCAACAGAATTACTACTTTGCACACTAAACTATTTTAACAAAATAAAGTAACAGACAGGAAAGCATGTTGAAACATGTCTTGAAAAAAATGAGACTTAATTTTTTTTTGAAGTCTTGACTACCCCAAAACTGTAGTACGTGCCTTCTATCAGTTATGTTTAGATACAGTCTTACTTGATAATACTGTCTAAATATGAGGCACGATAAAACATCACAGGAAACTAATCAGATATCTTATATGTGAGCACACAAGTTCAGCGTTCTACAAATGATCATCACAAAGGAGCTCATACTAAGACAAATCAGTCTCTTACTTTCAGCCAGATGCTAAATTTCATTACTGATACTGCACTCAAAATGTCAGTGAGAAGAATGAATTCTGACTAGGACTCAAGAATATCCTCAGTCTATCTATTCTGCTACTGACAGTTTTGGGTAGTGACAAATCTTCATGTAAAGCAACTTAAGTAATATTTCATTACCAAGACGTGTACTAATGAAAATTAAAAGATAAGTCTCTAAGAAAAGTTCTAGAAGTCCATCACACCCAATGAAGACCCACAGCATATTATGATATCCTGTGTAGAACCAATTTAGCTGGAATACGCCTTTCTCAGCTCTTTTTCATTCTGTTTTATAGATGAAATATGCAGAAAAAGGAGTCAAGCAATCTTCGGCGGGTTTTTTTTCCCCTTACTGGAATTTTCCACCCTGCTTTCTACAGATATTTAACCACCATTTTTATTTCTAAACAGATAACTTTCTCAGAGCATAAAGTTTCTTATCCACAGATTACAAACAGGAGAGCAAGACTGACAAAAAAATATATATATTTTTTGCAGAAAGGGACATGAGACAGAGACAGTGATGCCACTCGTCTCGAGCCATGAAAAGAGTCAGTGCAGCACCTGAAATCAGAACGCAGAGGAGCAAGGTCTATCCACCGGACAGCGTTATCTTATTCTGCTGCGGGCATAATAATTCCTAAGGTCATGAAAAATTAGGGAAAAATACAACCAATAACAGCTGAAATGTTAAGAAATTGGCTCTCTGCAAACAAGCACACTCCGTCATGAAGAACAAAACAGAAGACAAAGACAGAATGCTATGCAGTTACTTCTTTTTACCAGGTCTCACTACATTATAAAAAGCTGAAGAATTAAGAAGAAAAAGGGCAAACATTCATTATGGTTGCAATAGTTGGTTGGAAAAGAGTTTTGGGTGGGAGAATGTATATTATTAATACTTTAATATTAACAGTAAAGGGCAAAAGAGTTCTTTAGGTCTCAGGTGATCAGTTATGGTAAGATGGCTGCAATTCAGGCAGTATGCTCTGGAGGGCCCTTCCTTGTCTGATGCGAAGAATAGGAATCTGTAGCACTTTGTAATTCTCACAGAAAGGTTCTTTTATGACTCAGTATCATCGCTGATTAGAGTGCATAGCTTCAAGCTATGCTGGCACATACGCATGCATTAGGACATGCGTACATCCTCAAATCTAATAACCAGCGAGCAGTTGCAATCTTTGAGCTACTGGCCTCAACAGCAACCCTTCAAGTCCTTTTAACTCTAGAACAGCTTCAGAGTTGGGGAAAAAACAGTAGCCCTATTGTTGCTACATTCATCCCCTAGTTCAACAGTAAAGCAACTATTATACCACAGTTACTCAA